TCTATGTCAAATTTTCAACCCCATTACCTTTCTGTTTCCCCCCTTAGGCTATATGTCAATTTTCAACCCCATTACCTTTCTGTTTCCCCCCTTAGGCTATATGTCAATTTTCAACCCCATTACCTTTCTGTTTCCCCCCTTTCAACAATTTTCAACCCTTTATGTCAATTTTCAACCCCCCCTTTATGTCAATTTTCAACCCCATTACCTTTGTTACGATCCTGGCCAATTTCGACGTCCACAATCATCAGAAAGCACAATGTTGTCCAATTGCGAAAAGAAATGAATGAACTTGAGCCCACTGCCGTCCAATTGCAAAAGAAATGAAAGAACTTGAGAGGAGAGAGAGGGAAAGAAGAAGAAGAAGAATCAAGAAAGAAGAAAGAGATGATGTACTCCAGCATAGACCAAAGACAAAGCTCTTCTTCTTCGCTCAACAACCTCCTCCTCTTTATCCCCTCCTCTCTTATTCAAACAATAAATAAACAATAATAATGTTGAACAGCTGAACCAGAATCAATGTCCGAGTCCCACTTCTACTGCAGGCACAAGATGAGGTCCACCATAGCCATGGCAGTCCTCCTTCTTCCTCCACATATAGGCCGAGGCTATGGGGGACTACAGAGGCTTCAGCCTCCTGTACAAAAGACAACCCAAAGCAGTTATACCGCTGCCCCACTTCAAGGTCATCACCCAGCAGCTATGCCGCTGCCCACTCAACCGCCATGCCTGACTCTGTCCGAGCTTCCTTGATGCGGCACTACCCCCACTGGGGCCTTCCTGATGCAGAGCCTAGCAAGGAGATGAAGATGGTGTCTACCATAGCCAGTAAGTACCTCACCACTCTCCTCCTTGGTTCCCTTCTCCCTCCTCCTCCTACCGGTAGAGCTCCACCATAGCCAAGGTGGAAGCTCCCGGCTTCTTCCTACAGCAGCGCTGTAGTGCCCAGCGCTACTCCAGCCAGCGCTCCACCAGCGTGACGCCCAACTCGCACACTGAAGAATGAGGCTGGGCTCTCCACCCTGCCTCTTGATATAGCGGCCTACTTGCCTCCTGGGCGGTGACTTCCAGGCCGCTCGGCCTCTCCAAGCAACTGGTACTTCCTCCGTTTCGGAGGGAAACATCATTGCAGACCCTGATATTACCCGTACAGGCTCTAGACTCAGACTGGTTGGACTGGTACCGGCCTAGACCTACCCTACCGCTACTGGACTCTAAACATGTCAACTTTGTCTTTTTCTGCTCGGCCTCCAGTACCCCCTCACGCCAACTGCAGTGGGGTGCAGTATCGGCCTACCGGCCTACTTGAGTGTTTTTCTGCTACCCAAAGGGCCTCAGGGCCGCTAGCTTCGCCACTTGAGTGTTTTTCCGTGCTACATCCCTCAATGCCACGGCCAGGTAAGTGCCGGCCCTGAGGGCCTAGCAAACAAGCAAGTACCCTTGCGGGTCACACACACACTCATACCGACAAGCACTCAAACAGGCATGCAGGTCACAAGCACGCACACACACAGACAGACTTAGACAGGCATGCAGGTCACAAGCACGCACGCACAGACAGACTTAGAAAACACAGCAGAATGCGGGAATCTCAGCAAGGCATCCATTCCTTCGGCAGAACTTCAGAAATCAGCAGTGTTCTCAGTCTGTGTTTTGACGGGTCATTACACCTTTCTGTTTTCCCCCTTTTAGCGGTCAGTAGATGGGCCGAACTTTCACCTCACCCACCCCCCGGCATGTGAAAAAGGTGCAACTTCAAGTTTGCCCCTGCACATGGCTATGGTGTGAGCTGGTAGGATTAGCTGCAGGCGGTCAACGACTTTTTGCGAAATGTTGAGTACAGCGACTTAAATTGGTGGATTTCGCCCACAGAGTAATTGATGAAAAAACTCCGAAAACGACCGTGGACAGCAACAGGAGGTAATTAAATTTCCACCCACAGTGCAACAACAGGTACTAATTGAATTTGGCGATTTTCCGCCCACAGTGCAACAACAGGTAATTGCATTGGTTGGGCTTAAAGCTCTAAAACTTCGTCAGTTCGGAAAATAGTGGGCCTTCAACCTTTCAGGAGGCGGAAACGAAACGACGGCCACCGATCAGATTTATCAACGGCACCCGTTGTCGGGCCCCGGCTCCTCCTAAAGGTTCGGGACTAGCCTAAAACTTGTCGAAACCTGACGGCAAAGGTACTACCGTAGTGGTTTAGAACACAACAACAACAACAAAAAAAAGAGTTTCTGCATTACATGATAAACAAATCCTGAGGGCAAAAGAACACACACTGTTTTCTCTCTGCTGCTACCACAACTTCCACAAGGCCCATAATGTTCTGGCTTAGTGGGCCAGGAGGCTAAGAAAAAAAGGGCTGCCTCATTGAAAAATAGTGTTGCGGGCAGGGGTAGTCTGGAGCCTCGGAGAGGTTGGCGTGCCCACTGGGAAGAGGTGGCCGCCCCAGGCAAATTGGGTGCCTTGGGCCCGTGAGGAACACACATTGGAAAATGAATCTCAGAGCCAGTGCCGTGCCCTCAGTCTTAGTGGCAGGCCCCAGATCCAGGTATCTTTCAGTCTAAATAGAGCAATAATAACTGTATGTTGTACTCGGGTGAAGAAGGTAGCACAAGTAATAGTGTTAGCAGTACCACTACTAGGAGCACTACTCGTAGTACTAGTAGGTGGTAAAAATGGTTTGAACTTAGAATGTGTGCACTTCAAGCTGTTGCTTTCTGGTGGATAGTAGATATTATAGAGAACATAACAGTTAAAAAGAATGTCATAGAATATCACACTAAATGACTTTCATTAGCATGATAATGAAAAACCACCAAGCTCTCCTTGTTACCTGCCTGGGCACTGAATCAAATCATATCCACCTGAGCTCCTTAGACTGTTGAATTGACAATGTGTCAATAATGATCAACTAGAGTTCAAACTACGTACACTCCAATAAAACGAGCGGCGAGCAAATAAAATTGATCTGTAATTGAATGTGATAAATGAGCGGTGAGCAAATAAAATTCATCTGTAATTGAATGTGATATAAACAGATGATCTCCCCTTCATCTCCCCTTCCCCCTTCCCCC